AACACAACGCCGCACTTGCAAAGCGATGGGGGGAGCGTCGGTGGGGGGAGGCGGGAATCAAAGTACGCAAACACCGAGTCTCACTTTTTTTATTCCGACAATAGTTACCTATTTTTTTTCCAGAAAATTCTGGTACAACTGGAAAAGGATCATAATCAAAAAATGGAGAAGACCGACGAGAGTCTGGCAATTGTGTATCCGATTACCAATGACGGCGGAGTGTATACTGTAGCTTCGGACTACAGAAGAAAGTCTGGAAACTCGCCGGCTGGCTATTAATTGACTTAATTCGGGCAATTAAATATTGATAATTTAATTAATTTAAAAAATAATGTTTTTAGTGTGAATTTGTATTTTTTTCTCTGTTTTAATGACTTTATTAATAAAACTTGATTTAATTAATTTTCATTGATTTCATGAATACCGTAAAACCTGTAATAGAAGGACTGCCTAATTTTCAACTTTGAGCCAATTTATCTCGTTTCCTGATAAAGATATAAAAAATTTGTCAACTGGTAAATTGTTTATCATAATATCCTATACATTTTATTAGTTGACACATTTTTGATATCTCTGATAGGAGCTGAGATAATTGAGCTCAAACTTGACAGTGTGGGGGCCCTTCTATTACAGGTTTTACGGTAATTTTTCTAGAAATAAAAATTTTTAAAGTTGAAAAAATGGTAATACAATTTTTGGAACTTGCAAATTCTTCAAGGTTCATCCATCCAAGGACAGTTAATGAAATATTAAAAAATTTAGAAGTTATGGATTTCTTAAAACCGAAAAAAATTATGACCAAAACACTTATTCTTGAAATTTCTAGAACTTTTTTTCTTATTTTTGGTTCTTAATCTATTTTTTCATAATATATTTTTTCTGCGCGTCACTTTGTCAGAAAAAACCTGTTATTTTCTTTATTTTTTTACATTTTTTCTGATTCCCAACTGTGTAACACATATATCTTCTGGTGTTACACTACCCTAACCGCATCTTTTTTCCCCCAAAACCTCAAAACTTCCCTCCAACAAGAAACAAAAATGCTAATTAGACTAATTAACCCTCTAATTTTCCTAATTATTGGCTCGGAAACTGCTCTAGCTCAGGATAATGCCGCAGACTTGGAATTCTCTCCGTATGTCTTTAAACATGTCGATATTCCGTTTAAAAATGTAAGTTTTGGAGCAAAAAAAATTGTTTGGGTCTGTATATAAGTATTTTTTATTTCTGATTCCAAAAGATGAAGAGAGTTGAAAACAGTAAAATTCTCAAATTTTGAACCATTTTCCTTCCTATTATCAGCTTTTTTTTATTTCTTATTCCAAAAGTTATCAATGGTCAGAAACAGTAAAGTCAATAAATCTTTTTTCTCTCTGTCTGTGTGTCTGCATATCCTGATGTCCCCAATTTTACAGAACAACTATGCTAAAGACTGGTTTGGATCTGATGTAGCACTGGTGCAACATCCATTGTTGGGTGAGTTGAGATTTTTTGGAAAGTTTAGAGATTTTTTAAAAACTTAAAGGTGGGGGGAAAGGCTCAGTATCCAAGGGTACATCGGAAAAGGGTACATCGAGTTCTTAGGGTACATTGGATCAGAGGGTACATCTGTTCTTAGGGTACATCTGGGAGGTAGGTTCAAGGGGTACATCTGGCGTTGGTTCTGAGGGTACATCGGAGAAAGGATCCCAGAAAACATCGACAAGTTCTTAGGGTACAATCGGTGAAGTAGTCTAGGGGTGAGCGTACGTGCACGACAAACTGTAGACGCGAGTTCAAACCCTACCCCATCCACATTCTTTGTTTCTGTGAAATTGAAAACAAATTTCGTTTTGGAGTCTTTTTAGTGATTTTATAGCCACATGTTTCCAAATAAAAATCCGAAAAGTTTCCGAGAGCTTGAATTTTTTAATTCATGATGTTTCCTGTTCTGGAACATTTGAAGAGTTTTTGGTTGAAAGTTACTCAAATCGTTTTGATAAAAATCGAATTTTCCACCTTTTTTGTACAGCGAATTTCAGTATGATAAGCTCCAGGAAAACAAGCTATATTAAATGAATCAATCAAAAAAAATATGAAAAAACTGTACTTTTTCAAACAAATCGACAAAAAAAACAAATAAAATAGTGCAGTGTAAACCTAAATATCTCCCAGCTGACAACTACAAAATGTTTAATTGATGTACCCTAAGAACTTGTCGATGTACCCTGGGATCCTTTCTCCGATATACCCTCAGAACCAACGCCAGATGTACCCCTTCCACCCCCGGATCCACCCCGGATGTACCCCGGATCCAGGTCACCCGGATCCAGGTCACCCATATCCAGGTCACCCGGATTCAGGTCACACGGATCCGGGTCACCCGGATACAGGTCACCCGGATCCAGGTCACCCGGATCTAGGTAACCCGGATCCAGATCACACGGACCTAGGTCACCAGGATCCAGGTCACACGGATCCGGGTCACCCGGATACAGGTCACCCGGATCTTGGTCTCCCGGATCCAGGACCCAGAGACCCAGGTCACCCGGATTCAGGTCAACTGGATCCAGGGACCTAGGTTACCCGGATCCAGGGACCCAGAGACCCAGGTATCCAGGGATCCGAGGATCCAAGGATCCAGGACCCTCCCCGAGTCACCTTCTCTGAAGTTCAGAGAAGGTAGAACTGATTCTTCTCTACACTTCCCTCTCTCTCTTTATAGTATTCTCTCTAAGGTCAATGGGTCACTCAGGGCCGTGAGTTTTTCTAAATAATTTTTTTCATCACGTTTAAATATCACTTGATTTTTTTCCCTTTGAAATCTGTGAAACTCCAAAAAAAGAGCGTTCCTTTGAACCTGATTATCTCGTTGCCTGTTTTAGATATCAAAGATGTGTCTGCTGGTGAAATGTTTCTCGTAATATTAGTAACATTTTGTCAGTCGATCATTTTTCGATACCTTGCACAGGAACCGAGATAACTTGGCTCAAAGTTAAAATTCCCAGTGTGTGGTCTATTTTCATTTTTTCCCGAAACAAAGGAATGTCTCCAGAAGACTTCCAAATTCAAATTTCGAGAGACGAAAAGTTTTGATTTATTTTGTTATTTTGTCAATTTACAACTTTTTGACATCTCTCACCGAAACCAAGACAAATTTGGTCAAATGCTGGAATCTAAAACTGCGGCGGTAGTAAAATTTTTTTGAAAGTCTGAAAAATTGAAGAGTAAATGAAACAAATGAAAAAACTGTGGGAAATGTTGAAACAAAGTGTTCGTTTGGAAGTTCTTGTATTTCAGAAAAATTAATGAAATTATTTTTGGATTTTTGAAAAGTGCAATTTTTGGTATTTCGTATTTTTAAAGCTAATATCGAACATTGGGTCTAAGTCGAGGGACGCCATTCTAGTAAAATATGTTTTCGAAAGTTAAAAACCAGATGAAACTGAAATTTCAAATTTCAAAAATTCGAATTTCTTACAGCTCCTGCCAAATCCATCAAACCCGGAAATCCAGTTTCTCTTCCAACCATTGCTCCACTGGTCGTAAAATGGTCGGATTTGAATAATGTGAAAATCAATGAACAAATTGGACAGAATTTCGAAAAACGAGTGGATTCTCATGTGTGGTGGCCCAATAAATGATTTTTTGTTAAAGTTTTGAAATAAAAATGTTTCATTGATTTCATAAATATTGATACAAATATCATTCAAAATGTTGCTACTGTCATCAGAGCATTTTTGAATCTGTATAATTTTCGGGATTTTTAAGCATTCTCAGCACTTTCGAGGGTTTTTGACTTTCTTAACAATTTGAAAGTTTCCAAAGTATCTGATTTTTTCTGATCCTCAGGATTTCTGAATTCTCTGATTTATCATCGTTTTAATAAATTTTTGAAATACTTCTTTTGCAAGTTTTCACAATTTCTGATTCAAACAAGTATGATTTCAGAAGGGGGTCATAGACGATGATGATTCATAGATTGATGATTCTAAAAAAATCTGAAATTCCAAATCTCAAGGTTTTGAATGTTTGAAAAACTCTTCTTCTGGAACTTCCAAAGAACCAAGAAGATAATTTGCGTGTTTGGCCCGAATTTTGATGCCTAGAATATCCTGATTTATCGATCTTTCAATCAATCCGGTTGATTTCAAAAGATTCAATCTAAAAATCAAATGCGCTATGATCAGCTAAAAGATCAATTGGTCTTTTGATTTTTTAAGAAACTTAGATTTTCTTTTTTTTTTGTCAATTTTAGCTTATAGAGAATCAGCTAGCTGGTTCATTATATGAATGATAATTTAAAATTTTGACTCTTTCTGAAAAATTCCTGTAATTTACAGCTGAAAACTTTTTAATAACTTCGGCTTTAGTTGGTTTTTTTTTTCGAATTAATTTTCATTCCGAAAAAAATACAATTCCGATAAAATCTTAAAAACTCGAAAATAATGATTTCGTAGTTAATGCATCTATAGTTTACGCAAATCAAATTTCTCTCGGAAATTCATAAAGTCCGCTCTACAAATATATGTGTCCAGGTGCATTTCCCGTCTTCACATTGTCCCCCAATCAATGACTCCGCCTCTTTTTTAAATTGTAATATAAACCATTTTTATGACGTCTCTCATAAAATTTCCACACCCTTCATTTTTTTTCTGTAATCTCCGGAAATCTCCGGAAGTTTTTTTTTCAGTTTAAAGGGACAAGTCCAGGTAAAAAGACATTTATAAGAATACAGAATTTTCTTAATTTTTCTGAATTTTCACTGTTCTAATTCCGGATTTCTGAAATTCTGAAACTGTGGAACTCTGAAAAACTATGAACTTTTGAAATTCTGAAATTTAGAAAATTTTTTAATAAAATAATTGGATGAGGAAAAATCAAACTTTCCGAAATCAAACTTTCCACCAGTGTTTCAAAACACCTATCCAGTTCGAAAGCGCTTGGACCGAGTTATCAAACTGGCGGATCGAGAAATTATTGCTAGAAATCTAAAAGTCGGATATTTACCGTAAACACTCTATTATAAGGTCCCTCGGGCACCTGAAAATCTCGGGATTGGCGTTCATGTCGATTTACGAGGCCCCTTTGCACATTTTCTTCCGTACTCTCCAGTTGAATTCCATTTATTTGTATCATCCTATAAGTACATTTTTAATTTTCATAGTTATTTTTTAGTTAATTTGGTTATTTTGTTCATTTTGAACTGTCTGTGGAGGATTACGGTAGATAAGCAGGAAGAAAAAAAGGATCCTCCAACTTTGATCCAACTTATCTCGGTTTCGGTGAGAGATATCAAAAAGTGGTCAACTGATAAAATGATGGTGATAAAACAATAAATGTTCTCTCAGTTGACAACTTTTTGATATCTTTGACTGGTATTGAGATAAATTAGATCAAAGTTAAACCCCAACTTGTTCAAAAAAGTTTTACCGTTTTACTTATACTTTGAATTTTGAATCAGTTTTCTGTGAGTGATGAGTTCGCCAAACCATTTTCAAACAATAAGATTTCCTAGAAATTTAATGTTTCCAATTATACCAAAATTTCAAATATTTCAAAATCAGAAAAAAATTATACGATTCGGACTTAAATTCAAATATTATTTTTTTTTAGTGTAAGTCTTATCTATTCTAGTTGAGAACCCCCAAAGAAAACCGAATAGGCATACTGTATCTCTAAAAATCATCTCTATTAATTTTTCGTCACCAAAAAAACTGTATCTACTTTGGATTTTCATCCAGTTTTCGGAACAGACGTTTTATCTCGAAAGCATCTCAATGCTATATTGAAACAAGGAAGTGGATTTTGATTTTTCGAACACTTTAGAATAAAATAGTGATCATTTTAAATTGCCGTTTTTGAGGATTCGAAACTTGATTTATCTCATTTCCAGTTGAAGATATCAAAAAGTAGTCAACTGAAAAAATTTTGACCATTTTATCAAAAACATTTTATCAGTTGACCACTTTTTGATATCTCTTACAGTAACCGAGATAAGTTGAATCAAAGGTGGGGGGGGGGCTCCTAACAAGCTTGGCTACTGTAATCCCCACTACTCGGAAATTATGATTCTTATTTAGATTGTTGCTTCTTAACGAATATGTTGGTCCTTTTCTAATTTTTTCCTTCTCAGAAATTTGGAAAAATACTGTTTCAATTAGTTTTAAAATTTGAATTTGAAGCTAAATTTAACATTATCTCCGGTTTTTGAATAAAAATTTGAAATTTCAAAACAAAAACCTAATTTAAAATTTAAGATTTCAAAAAGTTATTAAATTCCGAATTTTATATAAATTTAACACTAATTGTTTTACAGTTGGTCTGAATTTTTCGAGAAAAAGAATCTTCAGAAGATTAGTGAAGGATCAAAACACAGTATTCCCTCTAATAGCCGTCAAACTTTGAGCTCAACCGCCAACTTTGAGCTCAATTATCTCGATTCCTATGAAAGATATCACAAACTTGTCAACTGATAAAATATTCATCATAATATCACCAATGTTTTATCTCATGACAAATATTTGATATCTTTTACAGGAAACAAGATAATTGAGCTCAACGTTGGCGGTTAGAGAAAGTACGGTATCCTTTAAGCACCAAAATATCCGAGAAGCGCGAATTTTTTTTTCATATTTCCGTTTTCAAATCTTCCCCTTTCCCGGATAGCTTCCCTTTGATGTTCTCTTTTTTCCCCAATAAATTTAGGTCTATCTAATCCCATTTCTCATTATTATTATTATAGACACTAAATTATCTCAAAACCTCTATTCCCGCCATATCTTACACCTCATTTTCTCCTCAATTATCTCAATTTCCATCTTTCCTTCCGTCCACTTTTTTTGGCCTAGAGTCTTCGTTTCGATAGTTCAGGAAAACTAAATAAGGATCATGTTTTCTAGATACACGCCCATTTTTCGACGACACGGATTTTGGCAAAAACGGAATCTAGGACAAGAGAACTGAAACATCGAAATGGTGAGTTTTTGGGGGGTATTTAAAGGGTCTCTTAATTAATGTTGAATTGCCTTAGGGGGTAACGGTAGCTTACATTACTTACCTTACATAGATTACTGTAGCTTACTGTAGCTTACTGTAGATTAATATAGCTTACTGTGGTTACAGTAGCTTGCTAGCAGAAGGCACCTCAAACTTTGAGCCAACTTATCTCGGTTTCTGTAAGAGATATTACATAGTAGTCAACTGATAAAATGTCTCTGGTAAAATGATGAATTTTTTATCAATTAATTACGTTTTGATATCTTTTACAGAGACCGAGATGAATTAGGTCAAAGTTAGAACCCTTTTTTTTTAATTTTTACCGATTTAATGAATTTTCAAATTTACACATCAATTTTTGGGGATAATTCACATGCACGCTGAGGAACTGATTGCCAAAATTTCTGAATATTCCAAAGTCTGTGTTTTACCATTTTAAATGTTAGAAAACACCAATTTGAATATCTTCAAAGTTTGAATTAAAATTCTCTGTTTCAAAATTTTCATATATTTGGTTCATCTTCTTTTATTCAATCGTTCTATGTTTTCATTGGAAATCTCGAAGAATTTGCAAAATTATAAATAAAACGACAATTTCCAAATTTAAATTGAAAGGCAACTCATATAAAGGGTCTCAGTGCTCATCAAACTTGCCTTTGGAATACGGTAGTTCATCAGAAAAGTCTTTCAACTTTTATCCAATTTATCTCGGTTCTCATAAGAGATATCAAAACAAAGTCAACTGATAAAATGTTTTTGATAACATGATAAATATTTTATCAGTTGATTACTTTTCGATCACTTTGACTGGAGTCGAGATAAATCAGGTTAAAATTAGGCCCTAATTTTTTTAACTTTTGCCTTTCTATTGAGTTTTTATAGTTTGAAACAATTTTTTTGGGATAATGTATCGGTTCTGAGTAATTGATAATTAAAGTTTCTGATTATTCCAAAACCAAATTTCTACAATTTTCAGAATTGAAAAACTAATTTGAATGGTTTGTACTTTTTAATTTTTAATTGTTTAAGCGATTACTGTAGCTCAGTGTCCTCCAACTTCAATGCAACTTATCTCACTTTTTTTGAAAGATATCAAAAAGTGGTGAACTGATAAAATGTTTCTGATAAAATGATAAATTTTTTGTTAGTTGACCATGTTCTATTATCTTTTACACGAAATGAGACATACGAGCTCAAAGTTAGTCACCAATTTTTTGAAAATAATTATTTACTGTTTTATTTGGATTTCAATTTTCAAACTATTTTTTAGTGATAATCAGAGGTCTCCTGCCAAGATTACAAAAATTTCTGAATATTCCAAAACCTAAATTCTACAATTTTCAGAATTGGAAAACTAATTTGAATTCAAAATTTTTCCTCTGTTTCAGAATTGTGATATGATTTTTGTCCTGTTCCTTCTGTTCAATTTTCTTGTTCTCTAGTCGGAAAAAAGTTTATTTCCAGAGTCTCCGGTGGAAAATGATCTACACTCATTCTTCAACTTTGACGGCATTGATAGCGGTACTGTTGGTCATAAATCTTCTGAATTTGGTTTCCGTTTGGAGATTGGGTGAGTTAAAAATGTTCAGCAAAGCTGGGATTTATTATCAAAATTAATCAACATCGAGTTTAATAGTTGCATATAACAGTTATAAATTTGTCAACGAAAAATGTTAATGTGACATCCGAACATCAACTTTCAAATTTAACCAAATAATTGAAATAAGTTCAATTACAAAACCTAAAATAATTACAGTTTCATAAAACTGTTAAATAAGTATAACTGTTAAAAATTACAATAAGGATTTACTCTCTAATTTGACTATAAAACGTTAGAATCACATGAAGTTAACCATACAATTTAGAAATAAAATCTAGTTTAACTGTCAAATTTTGATTAACTTTTTAAAAATAAAACTGTTAAATTATTTTAAGTTTTCTGAAACAACAATTTTCAAAATTAAAGTTAACAGTCTAGTTTGGGTATGAAATCAATTTACTGTAAAACCTTTACTAGGCCCCCGAACCGTCAACTTTGAGCGTATATATCTCAGTTCCTGTAGAAGATATCAAAAAGTGGTCCACCGGCAAAATGTTCAACATGCTATCAGTAAATTTTATCAGTTGACAAATTTTCGATACCTTTCACAGAAATCGAGATATAGGGCTCAGAGTTTTAGAACGCTGGCTATCGTAACCCACCGTAATCGGCAGGGCATTCTACTAGAGTGTTTACGGTATTCCTACAGAAAATCGTATAATTGAATTGTGTCTAGATGAATATCTTGCCAAAAATCGAAACACAAAATCATGAAAAAACTGAAACAGCGCAGAAAAAATACGTAGTCTGACTAGATTATCTTTGAAATCTCCGAAACAATCTGAAGACAGCATAAAAATCGCATAGTATTCAAGCCCGTACATCTCATTTCCCTTAAAAGATATCAAAAAGTGGTCAACTAACAAAATATTCAATATTCTATCAGTAACATTTTATTAGTTGATCACTTTTTGATATCTTTTACATGAACTGAGATCGGCCTCGTGAGGGGCATTTTCTGAGTCTTTCATGTCTTCCCCTCTAATGTTTTATTCCCCCGATCAATAAACAAATTACAACTGAGATACATTGGCTCAAAGTCAAAGCAACTTGAGTGTCACAACTAAAACTCAATTTCTCTATTGCAGAAAACAAGTTCGAAGCCGACGAAGTGATCGATATCTATAACCCAAAGGCTCTGATGGACCTTAAAGGGAAATCTCTTTCAAACTCTGAAACACGCATTAGAGAACTGTATAGTGCATCTCGGTCGTCGAGTAATAAGAATTTCTACAAAACAGTGAAATTGGAAGCGTTCTGTGCAATTAAAGAGAGAGTCGGAGACATTGATGATGGTGGAAAATATGTTTGTCATCCCAGAATGGTTAAGAAGACTAATTGCACGTAAGTTTTGAATCGCACCTTGTGAAATTAACGAAAATTGGAAAAAATGCTAGAAATTTTTGAACTTTGTGAAACTGTAAAAAAATTTAGAAACTTTTTTGGAGGACATGAAAATTGATACGGTTTTGGCAATCCGTTTTTCGTGCATTGTGGCTATTTGACTTGTCTTTGGTGTGAAGAATCTTCTTGGTGACCTTATCGGTTGGAGGCACGAGTTTATATAACAATTATTTATTTCTCGACGTTTCGGCATCTTGCCATCTTCAGGAGACAGGTTAATTACCTAAAAATGAAAATACAAAAAATGTCAACCGGTGTAGATTTCAGGTGAAGCCTGATAGAAACCGTAAGGAGAAAGATAGAGAGAAAAACAAATCGTAAGGGTGATCTCAATAATCACCATAGAGAACTGTTTGTGATCCTACCTAAAGTGTCTAGTTTTTTCGCTTCTTTTTCTTTGTTCTTTGTCTTTTTTGTGTTTCCCAGTTCCTTTCCTTTTATCTCAGTTTTCTTTCCCCTTATCCCAGTTCTCTATGGTGATTATTGAGATCATCCTTACGATTTGTTTTTCTCTCTATCTTTCTCCTTACGGTTTCTATCAGGCTTCACCTGAAATCTACACCGGTTGAAATTTTTTGTATTTTCATTTTTAGGTAATTAACCTGTCTCCTGAAGATGGCAAGATGCCGAAACGTCGAGAAATAAATAATTGTTATATATGTAAACTCGTGCCTCCAACCGATAAGGTCACCAAGAAAATTCTTCACACCAAAGACATGAAAATTAGTAAACCTAGTGTGCATTTTTTGCGGTGTACACAAAATGATGTTTTTCCTTTCTACCGTACCCTTTCAAGGTCTACCGTACCTTTCAAGGTCTACCGTACCAACTCATTCAAGGTCTATCGTATTCCATTCAAGGTCTACCGTACCCCACTCAAAGTTCACCGTACTTCATTCAAGATCTAACTTACCCTTTAAGTTTCTTCCATACCTCTTAAAGGTCTACCGTACCCCTTCAAGTTCTACCGTACCCCATTCAAGGTCTACCGTACCCCTTAATCAATGAACACCACTAGTCTGAAATCTCGACCGTGTAGCTCATAAGCTTATAAACAAATTTATGGATTTTTCAAAATCTAAAAATTGAAATTCTCACTTTTCCACACACCAAAAAATACTCTGACTAGGTTGAAATATTTCAGTGTGTCTTCAGATTGCTTCGGAGATTTCGCAGATTTTATCGAATAAAATAATCTAGTCAAACTATGTATTTTTTCTGCGCTGTTTCAGTTTTCATGATTTTGTGTTTCGATTTTTGAAAAGATTGTAATCTTGACACAATTTAAAAAACGATTTTCTGTTTATTGATTGGAAAGAACACTGTAAACTTCGAGTCAGCTTATCTCATTTTCTGTGAAAGATATCAGAAAATGGTTAACTAATAACATGTTGATGATATTATGGCAAAAATGTTCTCAGTTGACCACTTTTTGATATCTTTTATAGAAAGTAGATAAATTGGTTCAAACTTGGGTGTCATTATATTGTAGTTTTTACAGCATCTTTATTTCACACCTAGATTCAATATGAACAAAATTTTGAAAAAAATTTTTATTCATTGAATGGATGAAACCGAAAAAAAAGTACAAAACATCATTTATTAATAAAAAGTTGTGAAAAATCGTTTCTTATAAAATGTTTTTTTAATACTCCAAACAATTACCGATTAGCTAAATATCATTTCTTTTATCAGTATCATGAAACTGAAAATATTCTAAATTTCGATGTTTTATGAAATTTTCATTCTGAAAATGAAATTTTTCCTATTCCAATATTATCTTGATTTTTACATTTTGATTAAATTCAAAAAAATAGAAAATCGCATATGTAGTTATCTAAATACGTCGAAACGTCTATTATCTTCAGATTGTTTCGAAGATTTTCCAAGCTTTATCAAATAAGATAATCTAGTCAGACTACGCATTTTTCCCGCTGTTTCAGTTTTCATGATTTTTTGTTTAGAGTTTTGGAAAGATATTCATCTAGACACAATTTACTAAACGATTTTCTGTTTGTTGGTTTGTAGGAATATCGTAAATTTGAGCCAGCTTATCTCATTTCCTGTAAAAGATATCAAAAAGTCATCAATGAATGAAATGTGCATTATAATGTCTAACATATTTCATCAGTTGACAACTTCTTGATATCTTTTACAGAAAATGAGATCACTTGACCGAAAGTTCCAACATCTTGATATTAACGTTTTGAAATCCAGTTATTTTTTTGGCTTTGATGAAACTGAAAAAATTTCAAAACGGCTTTTTTCATTCAAAGAACATGGTTCCTCATAAAATGTTTACAATTCTAAAAGTGTCGACAAGCCTAATTAATTAAATTAAACTTCTCTTATCAGTATCTTGAAACATACAGTTTTGGGATTCGGAATTTCTATATTTTCAAAAATTTTCCGTTTCTTATTATCTTGATTTTTACATTTTGACCCGTTATGAAACTATTTTTTAAAAAAAATGGAAAGCACATAGTGTTCTGAATACGTTGAAACTTTCATTTAGTGTGTCTTCAGATTGTTTCGGAGATTTCAAAGATAATCTAGTCAGACTACGTATTTTTTTTCTGCGCTGTTTCAGTTATCATGATTTTGTGTTTCCATTTTTGAGAAGATAATAATCTAGACACAATTAACCATACTTGTAAAGTTCCGGGCCGGGCCTGCGGAAATTTTCAAGGCCCGGGCTCGGCCCGGAAGGCCCGGTGTCAAAAATTCTGTATTTTTGAGCCACATTTTGAGCTCTCTATAATATAATTTTTTCCATTTTTCTTTTCGTATTTCGGATTGTTTGTCTGTCTGATCAAAAAAGATCGAAAAACTCGAAAAAAAATTTTTTGGTCGAAAAAAATCACATAAGGGTCCCCCCTTATGTGTTTTTTTGAAAATTTCGAAACTAGTGAAATGACGGGCCCGCCGGGCCGGGCCGGGCCTCCGAAATTCCGGAAAAAGCCCGGCCCGGCCCGTTACAAGTATGCAATTAACTATACACTCTTGTGTTTGCCGGTTTGGTACGAATTTTCCAATTTTTCCAATCAAATTCATAAAAGATTATTGAAGTTTGGAAAAACGTGTCATTTTTTCTGACTACGGTAAGACCGGAAAAAAAAGTGGCACTTTTTTTTAAATTGCGGACCCCAAATAGATTGCAACTTTTTTTTCGATTTTTTAAAAAGAATAGAACAATTCGGCAGAATTGAACATTTCAAGAAAATCCAACATTTTTTAAATTAGATGAAACTGAAAATTTTTAGATGGCATTTTTTAGAAATTTGGAAGAAATTTGGAAATTCCAATTTTTCCGAAAGAGACAATAAAAAAGACTCAAAATGTCGGACTTTCGAAAATTGATTTAAAAAGTTCCGATTTTGGGTTTTCAGATAAATTTCTAAACCAAAAAATATCTTTTAAATTTTTCAGACTTATCTCTCTGGGTCTGAACAACCAAGTGACTTTTGATCAGCACATCTGGGACGTCACAGGAAGACACTGTAAAATGTTGGCCGCTGATAAGGTGAGGAATCTAAAAAATAGAAATCTTGAAACAAAAAAACTACAGTTTCCAAATTTCCATATTCCAAATTCTAAAAACCAATTATAATAGGAATGCTATATGCTTACCCTTAATATCTTCAATTCCGAATTTTGTTTTTTGATTATACAGGTCGGTGTTTACACATTTCACTTTCTACCGTACCCCCGTAGCTCAAATCCTCCCGATTTTCAAGAATTTTAGGATCCTCAACACTCGGAAACCCAAGGATATTATGAAAAAATGAATGGAGAGATATTCGTTGGAATGATCCCCAACGAATTGACGATTTCTAGTATGATGGAAAAAAGTGGTCGTAGAGATGTGGACATTTTGAAAATGGACATTGAAAAAGGAGAATTTGGAGCATTGGAGCCGTTTATCAAGGAGTATAGCGTTTGTCAGGTGAGGGAATTTTTGGAAGCTGCCGGAATATTTTTTTCAAATTTTAATCTAAAATTTGAACTAAAATTTGAAAGCTAAAAATTGAGGAAAAATTCAAATTTGTCCATTTCAACTTTTTCTGGAATTTCGACCAAAAGGACTATAGTGCTAAATTGATATAAAATTAAGAATTTAACAACTTTTTAAAACATTTTAATTTTTGAAACGAAACTTTTTTGAAATATCGATATTTTTATAGTTGATGCAGAAGTGCACTTACTGTTAAATTTAATTTCAAATCTAAATTCAATAACTAATTGAAACCGAATTTTTTTGAAAATTTCTGTGACATAATAGCTGAAATTCCAAATGTTTGGATTTTTAGGAAATCCTTGAAATTTTTTTCGGAAATTTTGAACTAAAATCAAATTTTAAACCCTAAAAAATTAGAAAATCTGAAAAAAAAACTATTATCATTATCATGACAAGATTAATGTTGAATCTATATAAAATTCAGAATTTCAAAATTTTTTGAAACATTTTTTATTTTTGAATTTTTTTTAAACTTTGGTATTTTAGCCAAAAACAGAAAGTGATAATTGTTAAATTCAGTATCAAAACTAAATTCAAAATTAATTGAAACTGATTTTTTAAAAATTTTTGTTCAAGAAGTATCTGAAATCCAAAGTTTTTGAATTTTTTGAACATTTGAATTAGAAATGAATTTATCATTGAATTTAGTTTCACAACTAAACTTAGAAACTAATTCAAACATTATTTTTTTGAATTTACTGTGAAAAAAACTGAAACTTCAAATATATTTTTTTCGAAAAATTTCAAAATTTTCTGAAAAATTATTTTTTCAAGAATTTTCTCTGAAATTTTTTCAGTTTTGTTTTTCTTTTAAAAAAAACTCTCAGAACTCTAAAATTTCAATTTTTCAGATTCTCATTGAAATCCATGGAACTCCTTCTGAGCACCTCAAAATGTTGAAAATCATGGCAAGGTGAGTTTTTGACGTCCACTTTAAGCCAATTTAGCTCAATTTCTGTATAATATATAACAAAATGGTCAACTGATAACTTTTTAATTATATTATTATTAATATTTCATTTGTTGGCTACTTTACTTTTGGATATCTTTTACAGAACTTGAGATAATTAAGCCTGAAACTTTCATAAAGTTTGAGTTGATTTTTCTCAATTCCTGTAAAAGATATAAAAAAGTGATCAACTGATAAAATGTGTAACATTTTATGATAAACATTTTATCAGTTGATCACTTTTTGATATCTTTCACAGAAAATGAGATATATAAGAGTTAAAGTTTTTACGTTATCTCAATTCCTGTAAAATACATTTGAAAAAATTTCAACTAGCAAAATGATCAAAATTGTCTCTTTTCGTTTCAGATACAATTTCCGAATTTTCAATGTGGACCCAAATCCCTATTGTATCGAATGCTCCGAGTACAGTTTGATCCATGACAGCTGTATGGATCAGTACGGTGTCGTCCCATTGACACCGATAATTCCAAGAAGTGAATATTAGGATTAAATTGTTTAAATTATTTTAACTTTGAAATTTTGTTTTCTGTGATAGATCTCCTTATGCTTTTTTTCCTTTTTTTAACTATAAATTTGTAGAATTTCCATACAAAAACGGAATGTTTCAACTCCTCCATGTGTGATTCCTCTGATTTTTGAGAATTCGGTTTATCTAAAAAGAGTGATATCTCAAAAACTAAAACTGCTATCAAAAATGTGTCAACTACAAAAATGTTGAAAACACTATTTCCCATATTTCCAAAGATGACAACTTTTTCTAGCTACTGTAGTTTTCAAGATTAGATCTCGCATTGTACTGTCCATTTTTAGCGCTCCTGGAAAATTCTGGAAACTTTGGCATGTAAAAGACTTATTTCAAAAAACGTTTTCGTCAATCAGTCCAATAAAACTTTTTTCGAAGTTTCATGAAAAGCCATTTTTTCAAAGACTATGAATTAAAAATGCAGTATTTCACTTTTTTCCGGTTTCATCAAAGTAAAAAAAAGAATTTTTCTCAAAACGTTAACGGTCTCGTATTTCAATACCCAGCGTAAAAATCTTTATCAACTTTATGTGAAGTCCTGTATCTCGGTTCCTGTGAATTATATCAAAAAGTGGTCAACTAATAAAATGTGTGAAATTTTATGTTAAAGGTGGGGGGACATGAAAAAAATAATTTTCTCGAAATTCCGTTCAAAGATGCCCCTCGAGGAGTTGAACTTGTGAGGGCGATGATTGAGGGTGCGGCGCCGCTACCGACTGAGCCACGCGGGCAAAGAGAAAGCGCACGCCCGATTGCATACATAAAGGCGAGGACGACAGCTGTACGCAGAGTGACATTAAGCGTTGTACACCGTGACGGTAGAATGAATACTCTTGCTACAAAAAAACTACGAAAAATCTCCTGTCCCCCCACCTTTAAGCATTTTATCAGTTTTCTACTTTCTCATATATTTTACAGGAAATGATATAAGAGGGCTCAAAGTTTACGGTATGCCTATCCACCAACTAACAGGAAATCGTATAGTTAAATTGTGTCTAGATGAATATCTTTTCAAAAATCGAAACACAAAATCATGAAAAACTGAAACAGCGCAGAAAAAAAACGTAGTCTGACTAGATTATTGTATTCGATAAAATCTGAGAAATCTCCGAAACAATCTGAAGACAATACTTACTCAGAGCTTGAAAAAATAAAAGGACCATATTTAATTTTGTCTGCCTTTGAATAAATTTTGATTTTTAATATATAATTTTTGCAACAGAACGTACAGTGGCGAGAAGAGTGGTGAGGAGAATTTTTTTTTTTTGAACATTAATTGCCCACGGTATGTCCGGGGTATCAAGGTCCTGTTATAAAACTATAAGAAAATCAACAAAACCTGTGATAATGACGATTTTTTGAGTTGGAGGGTAACTGCCCCAGGCAACTCATTCATAACTTTGTTCAAAATCGCTCAATTGACTTGAAATTTTGCATGAGAATAGCTGTAAAATCCAAAAACATAAAAATCGGTTTTTTTTTTGAAAATTTCTAGCTTTCAGAATTTTCAGAGCAGTTTCAGATGTAACAGTGGTCAGAGAAGGATTTTAGGTGTCAAATGATTGTCAGTGATCAAATATGCACCAAAAAGTTTTGAAGAATTTTGGAAGTCGGGCTCTCGAGTTATGATGCTCAGAGCACAAAAGGTATGTGTCGACATTTTCGCCATAACTCAGCTGAAAATGTATTTTTGATGCTCAAAATTTCACAAATGATGTGTTTTTTTCACAAATAAAATTTATTCAAAGGCAGACAAAATTAAATATGGTCCTTTTATTTTTTCAAGCTCTGAGTAAGTATAATTTCCCCAATTCCACCAGCCAGGGCCCCATGACCAAATGTCTGCATGTGTCGATTGAACAGCCACAACATTGGAAGTCTCTCCAACGACTAACAAGAATACGCAATTTGAAATCTGTTTCTCTGCAATTTCTTTCACTTGTTCGGTGTCCATCCATAAACCTCTTCTGCCGTCTGCATATTTTATAGCTCTTTGATTCTCCACATCCTGTTTCAGTTTGTCCCACTTTTCTTGGGTCACAGTTCGAGCTGTTTTGCTCCGGTAGATCAAAATATTCGTGCCCCCTCGTTTTAATGATTCAATAAGCTGATCATTTGATTTCTGATACTTCAAAAGCGAGCTTGATTCTGGGAAAATAACAATATAGAACATGTCACTGAAAAGCGAGAAGTTGGAGGCAATTGAAAAGAGGAGCAACTCACTCAGTAAGTATCTTTTCGAGCCCTTCCTTGATTGCTACAGCTTCGTCATTATGAGACTTCCAGTCAGTTTTGTCTTGTATGGTTTCAACGAATCTACGAACTTTCTGAGGCCAGAAGAGAGCTTGTGCCTGAAGTTTCGTCTCACAATCAAATCCGAGAAACTTCATAACTCACCTTGTACTCCTTCTCCCAGTTATCTGCTGAGCTTCGAAAACTCATCAACTCCTGTGCCAGCCTGTTCTGTCTATATGTATTCTCATTGTAAATCAGTCCACTGGCAAAGCACTCAATCGTCCACTGAAATCTCGATTTTGAGCAGAACAGAGGTAATTTTCCGGAGCTTGCGCATCAAAAATCAATATATTTTATTCAAATAGCAGCGTTGTCACTACGCAACGCTGCAGTTTTGATTTTAAAAAAAACTGCCAAATACCTGTGCACTGAATGCCCCTATCTGTTCAATCTACGCCTTCAAAAACTCTATTTGGGAAATTGATGAATTTTTACGCGCTGATTATCTTTGTACTCCTGTTGGTCGTCTTATCACTTATGAGGTTCCCTTAGCTGTTTTTAACTAAAACTAAACTAACAGATAAAATAGATAAACTTTTGGCAGATGCTTTCTAAAATCTTTCCTACCTACCAACTGTGCAAATACTCCATCAATCAAACTTTTCCACTCGTTGAATGTTTTTTCGGTCATCAACTCATCAGCGTCCATTGCCATTTTCAACGGATTAGTCACTTTATTATCTAGCATTTCCTTCAAAGTCTGAAAAACTGCATATTGGTGTTTGCGCAGCAAATTAGAGGCTTTACATATGCGAGCTCCAGTGGCGTGTTTTTTTCATACATTTTTTTGAAGAACGCTACACTTGAGTTTCGTGTCTCATTACTATCTGGATCGTTGGTGTCCGCCATGGCTCTACTGAGCACTGCGGCTTTCACGGCAATGCTCTTGTAGAAAGTTTGAGCAACCATGAAGGCTTTCAGATCGCTAAAATGGGTTCCCATTTTATCGCCAAGCTGAATATACTGGGATTTCTGAAGGAGCTCATACACAAGTCTTACATTGTTCAACTCCGACCTCAAACCTTTCAAATCGTCAAGTACTGGATTCGAGTCAGTAGATATAATCAAATTCTTCACAAGCAGTCCGACACCAACCAACGCCGCTGCGGCTGGATGCATTTTACTGAATACAAACATGCCAACATCGGCACAGTCTTTGATTGATGTCACCACATTAGCGATGGTGGCTTTGGCAGCTGGAAGATTTTGATTTTGAATGGATAATCAACAAAATAATACTGACTTGCCGTATCCATTTCTCAGAAGGTGTCCTACTAAATGTGATGCCCTTTATCTTTTATATCAGCTACGTTGTTTTATGATCCCACATTTTGACCTTCAATTTTTCTCACGAGATGTGCAAAAAGGCGGATACAAACAGTTTTCCGTTATCTTGTCAATCACCCTTTACATTTCCTGAAGAAGTTCTCGTGATGAAATCGGATGTGTTTATAAAAAAGAAAAGTTTGCCCTTGTCCAAAACCTTGTGATTTCTGTAAGCTTTCTTATCAATCATACATCCATTGATAAAGAAGGGAGTGTCCATTTCTCCAGATGATAAAAAAGATTATATAAAACAAAACGGTAGAAACACAACTTACACTTGTTCTAGACGGCGATGGATCCTCACGGTAAGTCAAGCCAGGCTTTTTCCGGAAATTTCCATGAAAAAAAATTTATCTGAAAACTCGTTAGAACCTCTTGAAATTTTATCAATTTCAGAAACCAGCAAAGCCATTCAAGATGTAGTAAACTCCATCAAAATTTGTTCTTTGGATTACGAACTCATCAATTATCACGTAATTTCACAATACAAAGCTGAATGGACCGGCTTGGGACAGTTGACGAAAAATATTATGATGTCTCCAGGAGTAGACCCGAAATCTCCAGTTCTCCAAAGTTTGAAGGATTTGAAACAAGAAATTAAGGAGATGGGCAAGAAAATGCACACTCATCTGAACAATCTTAAGGCCGCACTTGAGCCACTAGACTATGACAATGTAGTACACATCAATAATTTTTTCAATGAAAATCCTTTTCAGATTCCCTGGTACATGGATGACAGTAGAAGGTGCTTTGACGCATGTAATGTTGTCAGAACATTTTATCAAGAAATTTGTGTAAAATCCTCGGTGCTCTACAAAACCATGGCCGATGTGATCTATCCACAACATCACGATACCAAACAAGTCAAAATTCAGATTTTTCGAGACAACTACAATCGGACTCCGCCTCTGGAACTGGTTTATGCAAGTTGACTGGTTTAGGCGTATATTTGAAAAAAGGTTTTCAGGCGCTAAAAGAAATGATGGATAGCAATGTTTCGAATCCAATCCAGAGGATTACAGAGGCAAAAATTATGAATGGTGAGCGACTAGATGCTTGGAAAAAACTAATTGATAGCGTTTTTACGAAATTGGTAAGGAGTTTCAGATCTCAATTGAAACTAAAGAATATTTTCTAGCTGATTATTGAATGTTTTGCAAGTGGCTTGCTCCATGAAACGAACCCATACAGAAGAGATACAATTGACTTGGAGATTCAAAAATATCTGAGAGGAGATTGAATTATACATACTTATCATTCTTATAATAAATAAAGAAAGTTGCGTCTATTTTCTCTATATCTCTGTTAGTCCGCTCACGGGCCAACTGTTCGCAGAAACTGAGATACAGGGTGCGGCAAAAGTACGTGTGCATAACTTTGAAGCAAAAAAAAACTCATATTTTCGTTTGCCATGCAGGGACCAAACAATTTGCAGTTAATATTCAGAGACATTGTGATCATATCTGCCAAAGCTTGAAATAATTCCATGACCCATTCAAAAGTTACAACCGTTTGAATTCACAACCTCAGAATTTCTACAGGGTGGATACTAATTATTGATACACATCCAAGACATCATAACTCGTTTGAAAAACATTGAAAACTGTTGAAATGTTAACAGTGGATTATTGAAACGATAGAGAAACAAAACTTGACTATAGTTTTCGAATATTCCACCATCGGCTCTGATCACAGCTAGATTCCTTCCAGAGAAGAGGCCATCACGGCACGCAGGCGTTTTGGCTGAAGAGCGTCCCATAATTTCTCGTGGGCAACCATCAATGCATCCAAACTTGGGTAGTTTTCCGTGAAGAACCTCTGGCTAGAATATCCCTAAATGGCACAGTCCAACTGGTTCAAATATGGCGTCGGAGCCTGCTTTTCTGCTACCTATGTCAACCCTAGGAAATTGCCCTTGAACCACTGATAAGTGCCTGTGGCACGACCCTTGGCTTAGATTCAAATTTTTTCTTTTTTACTAACGGTTTCAAATCCAGTAGCAATAATGTGTGTGTGCGTGTGTGTGTCCGTTTGTAACGTCTAGCCTAGCGAAGTCCCCAGTAGACCAAAATTTCTCAAATTTTCACAGACAATCCGAAATAGCATCGAGATAATGCCCGGATTTTCCGTTTTTAAAAATGTTGATTTTGAAGCCTTCTGGAGACGTTCCTTGGTTTCACCACAGTAAAAAAAGGGTGGTGGAACTTCCCCCTGAGAAGAGAGGGCGAGGGCGAGAGGGGGAGGAAAGAACGATATTGTGTGCGCAGCCTCCACAACTAATGCGTCGTGGTCCCATGGTGTAGTGGTTAGCGAGCTACGCTTTTGCCCACGCTATGAGGGTTCGTGTCCTACGCGTGGTATCTATTTTTTTGTATTTTTTATAAAACTCAAAAATGAGTAAGAATATGTGAAAATGATTTTCTCAATAGTTTGAGTGTAATGGTAAAACAAAATTTCAAAGTTTCTAAATTTGATTACTTTCAAGTCAGAAGCATATTTTAGCTGCATTTTTCCGAATGCCTTGAAACTTGGAAAAAGCCAGCGCATACAACGAAAATATTAAAGGGGGACTCCGACCAAAAATTTTTATTGCCTTAAAATGTTTCAAAAAATATGTATTTTCCTAATATTATTGCGAAAAAATTCAAAGAAAATCCTAAATCTCCGAAAAACGGCGTTGAAAAAATAGGATTCGAATTCCCGCGCAGTAAGAAACCTAGGCCACGACATCATAGCGCCTTTCTTAAATGGAAAATTTTCCGGATTTTTTCGGTTTTCATGTCCGGCAGATAAAAACTTCAAAAAAAACCACTGTCGGCCACTTGAAAAAACGGCTATGAGGCTCCGGCTTTGCTGGTTTCTGAAATTGATACAATTTCAAGAGGTTCTAACGAGTTTTCAGATAATTTTTTTTTTCATAGAAATTTCTGGGAAAACGGTCGTCATGTTTCTAATGATCCACTAAAAACCTCTATTCTTATTCAGTACTCTCCAGAATTTTCAGAGTCTTCGAAAAATGCCTGGCTCGACTTACCGTGAGGATCCATCGCCGTCTAGAACAACTTTTTGAACATTTTAATGCAATAAAATTTTTGGTCGGAGTCCTCCTTTAATCAAGGGTAAGCAAGAATAAAACGTTTTCTAGATATTTTGCCTAGAACTCGAATGAGAATAGCTCGGCTTCCCTAAACTTTCCCACAAAGTTTTTGTTGTCTCATCTTCTTTAAGCTGTAGGCCAGGAGACTTTGAATACAGGGCCCAAAGCGCTGAAACTGTGAACGTTTGAAAATTATCTCCCTGGCATTCTAAACTGGAATTTTCGAATTTCCGAATTCAGTGTTTTGGTGTTCTGAATTTCCGTTGCTGACTCTCTGAATTAACGAGTTTCTCGAATTCGTCTATTTTAGAGCACTCAAACTTACCAGCTTCAGATTTCCAAATATTTACATTCAGTATTTTTTGAAACATTGAACTAAAATTTAGAGTTTCTAAATTCCGGAACTTGAACTTTTCTTGATTTTTAAATTTTTCAAGTCTCCCTATTTTCAAATTTCAAACTAAAAATAAAGCTGATCGATTCCGTGCATTTGCTCAGGAAAATAAGAGAAGAAAAATACGAGCAGGCTTTCTGAATTCCTTAAATTTTCCGGACTTAAAATTCTACGCATATTAGAGTTTTTGAATTTCAGATTTTCCGAAATTCTGAACTTTGAAGGTTCGACAACGCAAAAAATTTTGGGGCCAGAGAAGTTCTCAATTTTCAAATGCCAGAAATGCAGAAGTTTTGAAATTTGAAAATACGGGAATGAGAAATTCAAATGTTTGTCCATTCCAAAACAGAACATCAGAATTTCAGAAATCCTATGTAATTCAAAAGTCAATGAAATTCAGAAATTTCAGCAATCTTTGAAAAATTAAAAAATTCAAAATTCGGACATCAGGATATTCAGAAAATGTCGAGTTTCAGAAATTTGAGACTTCTCAACTTCTCAACTTTTTTAAAAGATCTTTAAAATTTAAGATTCCGCAAAATTTTTTTTCGAATTCGAATTTTTTTCAGACTTCAAAAGTTTTAAGTGTTCAACTTTCTGAATGTCCGATATTCTAAACTTAAAAGTTTCTGAATTTCTGAACTTTTGAAATTTTACTTTCTGAGTGTCAGCTTTTGACTTTTATAGCAATTCTTTTTTCGAATTTCCAAAACATCGAGTTTCAAAATTTCAGAACTTTCGAACTTCTGAATTTTAAATTTTCAAATTTCAAATTTTTTGAATCTGAGAATTTGAAAATGTTGGGATACTTTTTTCGGGTGTTGTTTCCATATTTGCAAAGCGCCGTGCGGGGCTTTTCTCAGAATTTTTAAGGCCCGGCCCGGCCTATCCTCAGCCCTGTTTTTAAGAAATTTTTTCCTGTCTTTTCACAAAACTTTTGGGGTCAATAGGGAAAAAACCCATTTTTCTGGCAGATAAAACACTTTCCAAATTAAGAGTTTTCACAAAGTTTGAAAAAACTTCTGAAATTTGTTTTAATGTGAATAACCCGTTCCCTGATTTTTGAGCATGGTTTTCTCCTTTATTGCAGTTTCAGAGCTTAAAGGTGGTGTGCGGTGAAAAATTGTATTGCTTTATTTTGTGCAGAATTCCATGTAGATTCCCATAAAAACAAAGAAAAAATTCAAAAAAAAATTCCTTCATTGAGAAAAACGGCATCGAAAAGTCAAAGTGGGAACCGATGGCCTAGCGGCCAGGTGTGAGTTTTCTAGGCCAACTGCCGGTAAAAGCGCGCGAAATTCGGATTTTTATTGATTTTCAGTGTTTTCTCAGATGTCTTTTAAAGATTTCAAAATTTTTT